GGAAATTTGAATAAAAAGTAAACAGAAGTAAACAAAAAAGGCCAAGCTGAAGAGGATCGTCCGCAGCACGTGCTATGCCGGCAGCACAATTATTCATCTATCCATTTATTTGATTATTTATTTATTCATTAATTTATTCACTTGATCATTTGTTTACTATTTATTTATTTTTACAACGTAAATGATGTTTTCATTGATTCTCACATGTACTTACATGTGAACTGCTCATAACGGTATGCGCCATGCATTTGTCCTGTGTTCATAAATTAAGGAACAGCGGGCGTTTCCAGTCTAGATCTCTGCTTCTACAAATCATAATAGCTGGCTTTACTAATATTCTTTGATAGGCGTGGCTGTCAGTCAGTTGTCGAATTTTTTACTCGACTCAAAATAAAGTTGTTTTTCCTGACCATGGGTTCTACTATTACATCTACCGTTTGCAGGGCTCTTGCTTGTAACCCGTTTTTTGATGGAGAGGCCGGCTAAATGGCCCTGACAAAAAACTCTGCTAGGAGGCATCCATTTCAGAAGAGCATACGCGAGGAGAATCAAGAAAGAGTGGACGGTCTACGAATTTCTTTGGGTTTCCAAAGCACCACCCAAATGTCCGAACGCCATAGAGGGATTGGTATATCAAAAACTTGCTCATTCCGGTCTCGTAAATGGAAATCTATTGGCGATCCACCCCTCATCGATTTATAGCGGGAACTAATTGTCAACGTGGGATAAAAGAACTCTCTGAAGTATGCGAGGGGGCACTTCGGCTGAATTGTCGTCACAGGAGTGGCGGGATCAGTTCGTCAAACTTAAACCGGCTTGGCATGGGATAATTGGAACTAGAATTTCTGCGGGCTTCTCAGCAACTCAATGTCATTCGTAAACCCCAACTTTTCCATGATTTAAAGTTGAGGTTGAAGACATGGCGCATACCAGATATGTCCAGTTTCCCAGTGAAGGAGAAAAACAGAAGAAATACGAATGAAACACAATCACTTGAGTGCGTTGAGACCGTCCAATCATTCAGTTTGAATAAGCCGCTCCCCCTCTCCTTTGGAAAATTCCGACTGACGGTCGCATGTCGATTCTGGAAAAGGGGTCGTATTAGGAAAAGTTGAGTGACAGCTTGGGAGTGTGACATAAGCAGATCCCACACATGGATGTTGAGGGGGTGAGGGCGTGTACTGAAAACTCTGTTAGACGGGTTGTGACTAGGGGACACAGGCAGGGTTTGATTTCAAAATTGTTCCCAGCATGTCGGTGATCGTTGAACCTAGGTCAACCTGGCGCACCTCCAACTCCGTCCCTAATTTTAAATACAGAAGTGAAGCGTGCTGAGTGCCGGGATTAACTACTGAAAGCAAATTTTTTTCTCCGGAAGGTCCTTACATATTCAAAATTTCCCGTCATTTGCCGAATCTTTCTATCTTTTTAGATTTCCCAATCCCCGGCCTGAAAGTCAGAAAATAAAATGGTTCTATTTTCACAAAATAATCTTCCCACCCAAACACTAAAGTAACTAACTTAGGTCTATACAGTTATATAAGTAATATGAGTAAATAATTTTTACTTGTTTTTGTTGTTAACTGCTGTTTTTGGCCGCAGTTCGCCTTGCGAATGTTTCACAAGAATGCTGGGTTGTGAACAAAACTTTCGCCCCAGGCGGGACTAGAACCCGCACCTCTCGCTTTCCGGGCAAGTGCGCTACCAGTTACGCTACCGGGGCACCATTTCATCCCAACTCAGCTTTCAGCATACCAAAGAGCTTCGGGTTCTAGTCCCGCCTGGGGCGAAAGTTTTGTTCACAACCCAGCGTTCTTTGCATCATATTTACGTTCAGAAATATGACCTTACCCCCCAAATACGCTTCTCACCAGAAACAAAACACGACCCCTCTTGTTTGGCTGGGCTGGTATCGTAGCGTTTTTCTTTTCGAGCTACGATTCAGTGAATACAAGTATTACCCAGGAAATCACATATATCATTTGAAAGTACTTCTTCTGCTCTACAATACCATGTTTGGCATTTTCTTCTATACTGTAAGTGTACTCAGATATGGCGCTTAGAATTGGAGAATCAAGGTGGGCGAAAATTTATTATATATAGAGAAAAAAGCGTGCCCAACATGGGCGGTTTCGGACATCCCTAGTCATCACGAGACGATTGGCTGCACAGGTCGGGCCCGCTCATTGGGTCAAGAATCATGGAGATGCACCTGTACAGGAATGAAGAATATTATGGGAGTTCTTAAGGAGGAAAGGTGCGCGAAGAAGCGTGGAGGGATCTTGTCAGGCCATAAGAGGTGGCGACTGGGTTGAGACTCATTATCCACGATAATAGTGAAAAGAACTGAAGTATTGCTTTCGTTTTGATTAGAAATTCGAAAACTCGAAAAGGCTGCTACGCGTTCGAATTGCCCACGGACGTCTTTCACGAATGCTGGCGACGGGGATGCTCAAACTTGGTTCTTAGACGATTCACTAGAAGCTCTTTCTGGCCTTCTGCTTCGTTGCATTCACATCTTACACTTCTACTCCATCCTATTCCATCGATCGATTTGTCTCCACTCTCCGAAATCGCGCGCTTTAACCCGATTCTCTCATTGCGTCGCCTGGTACGTAGCCGGCCAAACGCCGTCTTCTTTCCATGCCTCGCCTGGCTCTGCCTCCTGGTCCTTCGATGGTCCATAACGTGTAGTTTTTGTACGTTTGTTTCTCTTCAGAAACCGAATCTTCATGCGTGGAAAGCTTAGGTGGATCTTCAAGGATGCACAACTGGACTATATTCAATGTTTAGGAATGGAGAGTGCAAGAGATTTTGTTTCCCGCGCCGCCGCCCGGGCCCCGCCCCCGGGGGCCCGCAAGTGATTTCCTGTAGAGGCTGCACTTATCCCGGTTGTTTGCTGCTAACGCCGGTAATTCCTTCCGAAATGCAGCCCAAAATGCGTGAATAAGACGAGAAGTTATCAGTTGACTGGATGCATTTTTGATGCATTGGCTGCTTTTGGATTTTGCTTTGAGACAGTGTTTGCCAGAATGTCGAGCGGCTAGCGCAGTTTTATGCTCCGACCCAATATGTTTCAGAACTGCACGTGATATTCTTCTACCTGTTCGGATTCTGTGGAATCGCACACATGGTGTCGAACATCTTCTGCCATGCTCACTCGCTGTACTACATAAATCCATATGTAAGTTGAATTGGAGCAAAAATTGACATTGGTCCGCTTGGTAAATAAGTAACCTGAGGGCAAACGTTTGCATCGGAACTATTCAGCGGGTGATTGAGCAATTTCCCCCTTGAAGGCACCACTTCAAGTCGGGATAAAATGAGCAAATGTAGTGGTTAAATATAATACATTAGTATGATTTTGTTAGGAAAAATAGAGGCTGAAAGCTGCTAATCACCACCGAATGAATAACCAAAATACTTAATTATACTTCCAGGGCCGGATTTCGTACTATCTGAAAATCACCTTCAGCGGCTTATATATTCTTTCGGCACCGATTCTAGTTGGAGCCTTTATTCTCTATTGGAAGCAATGCATCACTTGGGGTATGTCGTTTCCTGCTTTTTTCGCTATTATTCTAGTTTAATAATTAATTAACCCTTGCTTCTGACGGTTTGTGTTTACTAATCATTTCCATGGGTTTTTATGGAAATCAATATTTAGCATATGACGTCTTTGCCATATGTGAGTACTGTGGAGTCTTTTTGAATATATGCTTCCACGGTTGTGCCTTCTTCGATATCCGCTACAAGGTTTGCTTCAGGTGAGCAAAATTTCTCTACTGAAAAATAAGTGGAAGGAAAAAAGTTAGTTATGCAAAATTGGAAAAAAATCAATCAAAAAAAAATAAAATATGTAAGTCAAGCCATTTTTCTAATTGTCACTATCCAATATTTTAATGTCTCATTTTCTTTAACCAAAGGACAGGTCCGAATATGATAACGTGAATGAGATCGCATAATTAATTCTCCTTTGAAAGAATCACAGCAGCTAATTACCAGGCATAAATCATTGAGATAAGTTCTAGGGCATGTAGGATAGTGCTCTATCAACCTCGATCAATCACGGCTTCCCATCCACGCGTCAGCCCTATATTGGGGACAAGACACAAGCTTCCCCATAGCCGGGTCTGCGCAACTCATTGCGTAGGCCAACGACGCTTACAAAAGCTGCTATGATTCTGCGCAGAATGTGAATGCGTGGCGCATCTCAGAAAGGACCGGCCGACGCCGAATACCTTACACATCCTTTCATTACATAACACAAGATGCATTGGGCAATGCAACATAAAAATCATAAGTGAAAAATTTTAACCCATTCGTGACAATGTCAGCCACCGGTGGCTGACAAAGCTCTCACTCGGGACAATGGTATTACTGTGGCTGCAGGGCTTGAAATGGAATTTGGAAAGTTTTCTTCCATGGAAGAATCTTCATACCCTCGCTCATCTACGCCAGCCCTGGGCAGAGGAAATCTCCCTTCACTCGGATTTTATTGAAGAAAAATCTCCTGACGCTGCTGCTATTGCGCAATCCTGCGCGGTCGCGAATGGGTTAAAATGGAAAGGGGTGGCCCGGGTTCCTGAATACGGATATGGAGGACTCTTGCTGAACCTTTTGTCACTTTGGTAGCCTCTGTGAATGCAAGGATTACTTGCTGACCAAGACAACTCTAGCAGTCCTACTGCCAAACGACCTAAGGTCATCCTATGATAGATGGAAACCCACAATTAATAGTGAAAGACACAGTATATTTTCCTAAATAAACAACTTAGAGGTAATAAACGGCCACTTTTTCATTCGTAGATCTACCTCTTTCTCTATGTAGAAAATCCTGCATAAGTTGTTTTGTGCAAAGTTTTTTGTTTACTATTTGTGGTATGACACTTGGGTTAAGGGATATAACGCAGCAAATACCCATTCTCCCTGATCAGTGCTCCTAGTCAACTTGACCTAGTTCTCGGCTCTAACACCTATTTTTCAAGAAAACCCTCAATAGAAATAGTTCTATCGCTGAAAATGCCCTTCGTACCCTGCGACCAGGAGATTCTGTATTACAGACTTCACAACACGAGTGACGACAGCATCCAAGTAACCTGATAATTAGTAGGTTGCAGTGGTAGCTCACAGTCGATATGATAGTCGCAATTAGCGAGAATTAAAAATGCAACCGGCTAATCATTCATTGGTAGAAAACAGTTCCACTTTGTGGACGCTGTCGTCACTTGTGTTGTGAAGTCCGCAGTGGACAAGCATGTGGCTGCGAATACAAAGTGTATACTGTACGGGATTGTAGATCATGTTTAGTGTCCGTCACGTGGAACCGATCAAGGACACGTCGAACGATGAACCGCTAAAGAAGAACAAGATCAGCCCCGAGATCGAGCTGAAACCGCATCGATCACATGGCTAGCAAATTCCCCGATACTGATCGTATCCGTGTAATGTGAATCTCGCAAATCTACAGTATGACAGTTACGGTAGCTTTGAACAAGTAACTCTTGTCGTCTCGCTAGTTTTTCTCGTTTTCATATTCTATATCGCGAAGTGTTTTCGCTAATTTATTCTTTGTTTGTATATAGTGAATTCATTCAATTAATGAATTATCTGCTACTTATTTTGTATTTATTGAATCATTCCAGGCCCCTTCATATACAATATTTTAGGGCGCCCTTTATATACAATATTTTGTAGTAGCCGCCTTGAAACTAGTTATTGATGGCTGTTATTATTCAGTTGTGTAGTGAGAAGTCATGCCGCGACGTCGCGCACAATGTTCTTGCCGCGGATGCGGCGACTGGTTCAAGTAGCAAACTTTTACACCGTTCCTCCCCTCACAGGTATATGTTGTACCACAATCTCTCTACAGTTTGCGCTCCGGCAGTTTCAAACTTAGCGAACAGCTCGTGCGTTGGGCGGTTAGATCGAATATTCGCGACGTCGCGCAGTGACTTCTACCTACCCCACCCCATATCCAACTAATTCGGAGCCAAATTTTCTGCTCGTGAACAATCGCTATTTGAGACCGATTCTCGAGAAAAAAATACTTACGCAAAATCCCTTGACAGGTCCTCGAAAACGTCAGTCTTTTCATTATCGCTCTTTAGTGATTTCATCTGTGATCGCGCCTTTCCTATTCTATGAATCTTTCCTATGTTAAAGCTCGATTCGAATCAATATATCGATCTGTTGTGCTCAAAAATAAATATGGAATACATCGATGTTTTCTCAGCTAGAATTTTTAATAATTTGTTTGGTTCAAGGATCTCTAATGAAATCTACTGTCACCCTGACAAATCATAACACATGACCAACACATGGCACTCTAAGTTCATTCTACGGTCAGAAGATTTCTCTCGAAAACGAAGGTGGAAGAGTGAGAAGGACCGATCTAGAAAAAAGACGAACTGCGAAGAATCTTTTTGTGGGTGGCCGCTATTATGACGAGAGATACTGTGGCTCTGAGACAGAGAAACAACAAGAAGAGTATAACGAAGGCGAGACACAGACACTCGACTTCTTAGCCCGCTGCTTGAGAACACCTGCAGCCGTTCCAAAGCAGCCCATTAGAATCAAGGTATGTAGAGGGTCAGCGGTGATGAAATGAAGAAAAACCACGAGAAATGGCCCAGAGCCCGAGAAATGGGACTATTTCCCTGCCCGTTGATTTCCGCATTGACGCGACGACTCCTATCGGTGCTGTCCTCTGATGTTCAGCGCTGATGCTCACTCTACCAAACGTCAAGGGACTGCGGCGAGTGGTTAGCTAGTCGGTGGGCGTGTCGCGCCAATCGCGGGGACGGCCATGCTAGATCGACGGGGCACATTCTTGGCTGCGAAACGGTCCGCACCCTCAGAGGTCCGCCTGTTTTTCTTCAGGTAACTTCCTCCTTCTTCCATCAACCTTATCGTGGAATCTTCAAGGAACAAGGCGTAGCTCCCCTATCGCGTACTTTCGTACGGCTGGGTTTCAACAACACGGAAAACGCAGATTGGCAAAAAAAGCGCGCGGCCGCGACGTCGGAACAACTCGTCGCACTTGGTAGACTTTCAGGAGCAAATCTGAAACGATGCCATTACCTGCCCACTGCTTTTGATAGAACCAACGAACTGTCGTACACAAAAACATCAAGAATGCCTTAAAATCTGTTTACTGTTTTATATTTTGCGTTTATAACAGAGCACGAGTTGTTTACAAATTATTGCACATAAGGCGATAAATGAAATCTATACTTATTCACATGGCATTCTGTGATTAGAGATCGATTCATGTCGAGAATTCCAAACACATTGAGAAATTGAATCTCTTTGTCCATAAAGTTGGAGATTGCCTGAAATCTCCACATTCACTACCAAAACTCAATCTGAACTTTAGACAAAAGTGGTTGATTCTTGTTCTGTTTGCTAAGCTGTTTCAAGGCCGCAGTTGTTTCATAAAAATAGAGGTGTGAACAAAACTTTCGGCTCAGCCGGGACTCGAACTCGCAATTCGAGTGACGGTCCGAGCCCCGCCTGAGGCTTCATGACAGAGTATTCTTGGATGAAGTGGTTGAATGTTTCTGTTATATCACCAAAAGGTAGGCTAAGGTAAGAGAGGTAGAGCTTCGATTCCTGCATGGATCAAGAATTTCGCCTATAACCCAGCGTTTTTGTAAAAAGCAATTCGATCGCATCTCGTTGAAGATACGCCATGCACTCACTTTCCATTGGAAATCTTCGACTTGTACCTAGGTACAGGTAGCTGCGAGGTGCCTTCGAAAACAATAACTATTCCTCTAGGGTAAGGTGGCTACTTTCAGCTGATTGTAAGAAAGATCGGCTAATGCAACATGGATCATACTGGTGATCAGCGCGCTAGTCAAATCGCTTCAAACGCCTTACGACCAGTAAATCATGGAAAGGCTAAAGGAATCGTCGTTGACCAATCCCTTTTAGAATGCCCCGCAGATGTTAGTCAATTGCAGGATCGCAGGGGCATTTTGAATGCGATGTGGCCTATACAATGACTTGCGGGGGCCAGCCGATGTACAAGTCAGTGTTTTTATCCTCCCAGACAAGTCTGGTACCAATTAACCGACCCCGGAGGGATGGAAGGCTTGGTTGGCCCGGGCGACTCACGACCCAGGATTTGATCCCCGGCCGCTCGCGTGGTAAGCAGTGCCACCACACCACTTCCGGAGGTTTTATGAGGTATCTTCCCTATTTTCAGTCAACTTGAAGGAGTTCCACTATATTGTTCAGTTCTCTGATTATAATCTGGCGTATTTGACCAATATCAATATAATGACTAGTATTCGATTGCATATTATATAAATTTTAAAATAAACGTATACTCTAGCCAACAATGCCAACAGCCTACTGAACAAATGGTGAATGAGTCTAATAAATTAGCTTACCTCTATGCTGGTCATGATGTGTTCAATTTGAATAATATAATTGAGTTTCTCATCGAACGTCTCTTTCATAGCATTAAGATGGGCAAGCAAAGCTGTACGATGTCGAGATTTCTCCTGGGCTATCACCACTTTTCCTTCCGGTGTCAGGCTGCTGAAGGTCAAACCTGAAAGATCCTGGTTTCGTAAAGATCTGTGAAGGTACAACAGCTTCTGTATAATAAAAAATACTATTATAATTTATGGTGCGGTATGTGTAGTGGCAGTGGCCCGCTGCTTACCACGCGCTCAATACATGAATCAACCGTGATGCTCGCCTCGTCTACCAAGCCTTCCATCCTTTAGGTCGCTTCAATTGGTCGCAGCTTGCGTGGAGCACAAAATTACGGGCCTTCTTACATAGACTGCCCCCGCAAGTCATTGAGCGCCTGATCCGCAACGCAACCCGCCTACGCGTTCCTCGGGAAGGCTGATCAATGCTGATGTCTTATCCTGAATCCTTGCATTTTGTAATTCATGAGGAACATGCGCAGAAGCCGCAGACAAAATGAAGCGAACAAAAGGTGGAAAGGTTTCCCAAGATTTTGTAGCCTCCAAAAAAATAGACGGTTATTATTCCCTAAAGAGACGCACAGACACGCACTATTTCATTGTGAAGGAGTATTTTCGTTTCCACTTTTTCTACAAGAATACTACGAACTGCTTCAAATCCTATCTATCCAATTTTCAAATTTGCTGGAAGACCGTTCCATTTTTGGTAAAAAAAAATACACGAAAATTTGCACCAGTGACGACTCCAACTACTGGCAGCTAGTCAACCGAATATAGATATAAATGAAATGCAATGAAAACACGGGTTGCGATCAGACTCTCGGAACAAGTGTCTCCAAGAGTGAGGTAGTAAGTAGGATTAGGATAGGGGGTGTGCGTCATATGGCGCGATCCCATTGGCATTGGAGCGCACAGGCCGTAATTACCACATCCTGCTGTGGCCGGACAACTCGTCCGCGCAACACATTCTGTTCCGTTCCTCTTGCCTTGGCATCAGGCCAGCGAAGCTATCCGCTCTTTTTTAGATCCTTGGGACTCAGCGAGATTTTTGAGACCCAAATTATCAGATCGATCAATTACTGAAGTCTAGTAGTTGAGTGATACGGACGAGTTGTCCGGCCGCAGCAGGATGGGGCAATTGCGGCCTGTGCGCTCTAATGCCAATGGGATCGCGCCATATGACCGCCTCCCGGATAGGGCTTAGCAGAGTAGTGGTGAAACTGTCTTGATTGTGTGGGACCAACCCGCCAGGCCTAACCTTTACCGCTGCAGCCGCTGCCATTCACTAAATCGCGGCATACGCGGTGTCTGCGTCCTGTCTACGATATGCTCTCTCGTGCATTCCCACTCCCCGCTGCGCTCTATCTCTCCGTTGACCCCACAAGAAAGAAAGGCCCTTGATTTCCCTGAGGCTTTTTTGCTTTTCCACGGACACTCTGGTTCCTGCCTCCTATTTCATTTCAGAGCGCAATGACACCGATTCAATCGCGACCCACGTCTTTGGGTAAAAAAATGAATGGTTGCAGTATATGAACAAGTAATAGACAGTGAATAAGTGAAAATTATAAAACTCATTCCGTCATTTGAGCGGAAGTGGTGTAGTGACAAGTGGCACGCTCACCACGCGAGCGGTCCGGGGATCAAATCCTGGGTCGTGAGTCGCCCGGGCCAACCAAGCCTTCCATCCCTCCGGGGTCGGTTAATTGGTACCAGACTTGTCTGGGAGGATAAAAACACTGACTTGTACATCGGCTGGCCCCGCAAGTCATTGTATAGGCCACATCGCATTCAAACGCCACTACGAATGTACAAATGGAAGTAGAATGCGTGCCGCATCCCAAAAAGGGATTGATCAACGGCAAATGCTTTATCCTTTTTTATCCTTTATTATCACTTGAACCTACTATTTAATCAGTATACATATGAGACAGGATCATTGAGCCACTAGCGCTGTTACAGACTCGGCAAAAATAATTCCAGGGTTGTAAAAATGGGTGCCGAAAGCCTACCGTTAGTACCCGTTAAGGAGGCCTTCTTGTGGCTCAAATTGTCTCTTTGCAGCTTCAGTTGGAGTAACTTTCAAAGCTTTATCTTGACACCAAGCACGTTCTGGAAACCAGAAAACAGAGCTAAACGACTCCTTTGATCCCCCCTTAAAAAATTTAAGCAAGTTTAAAAAATAGTATTAAATTTCGACAACACAATTTGTGACGAAGATAATAATCTGAAAATGGTATGGTTTGATTCAATTGTTTCCATATTAAACATGATTTGAATGAACTAACCTTCGAAAAGGAATACGCTGGCCTTCATCAGGACATATGTGGTTTCACTGAGGCGTAGATGAGCCATCGGGAAAATCACCTCGGTGAACAGGGCATCGCATAGTTGTGAGAACAGTTTCCGCAAGCTGAATCATCCATTAATGTCAAATTTGTTGAGCTCGTGATCTAATTAGTATCATTTAATGTTACTGTTTATTTTGAAAACCATCGAATTGTAGATAAAAAGTGTTGGGATCCGGGAGGGTTGGTACTCTCCTACGTGGCTTAGTTCGTAAGTTCTGCCAACCAGATATAATACCCTTGACCATTCTCCCATTCTTCAGTTTTTTATCGAATTTTCAGAGCTGATTTTTCAGAGCTGAGTTTTTGTGGCACAAGAACGAAATCGAAAATGTCTTTTTGGATTAGGACCGAATTATCGAACTCCTCACCCTTCCCTTTCCAGTTTTTACACACCAAAGAGGTGCTAGTCTGTCGGTGCCAAATCTGCTGTGACACACCCGAGGTGAGTCAGAACGTCCCTCAGGAGCATAGAAGCTTTTGCTGGAACCAACTGATTGTTGTTAAACAATGGCAGGAACTTCGTTGGTAAAGCTCCTAGTGAAGTTGCATTTCAAAGCGTTCTCTCATTCCAAAAGTTGCCCCCCCGTGGTCGCAGCGGTGGAAATTGTGTTTTAGTGTTCCAGTGGTCCGAGCCAGTGGGGCTTATGTGAGTGTTTTTTTTGAAGAATCCACTTCGTGTTGCCACCAGCAAAGCTGTCGGGTCAAACGAGAGACAGACGGTAAGTCAAAATGTTCATGGAGCATTACTCCGGCTTCGAAACTGGTGATCGGTCAGGCCATGAATTTTCCTTTTGCCATAATTTCGTAGTTTTACAGATATTTTGAAATGAACGTCCCAGACAATCCCTAGAGTTTCCTCAACGCGTAGAAGATTATGACCGAAGACTTTCATACGAGCATCTGGCTGCAGACGCCGGTATGCGGCTTTAGGATCATGATCGTGGGAAGGCAGGATTATAGTCGCAGAATCTTGCGTAGCAGAAGTGATGCCGCTTTTGCGACTATAATCCGAGGTTCTCTGACTATAATCTTCGGAGCTGCTTAGCCCTCCCTGGCTATGTAATTCGATGAACAGCCTGTTCAGCAACATCGACTAGTCTTTGCAGCCTCGAAAACTTGGGAAAAAAACCGGCACAGAGTTCAAAAACAGGATGGTGCAGCGAGCTGAGCTGTAGCTGTACACGCTGAAAGCACTTTCGTCCTAATTGTTCCTAATGAAACCATGCGTTACTGTTCACAGTGTTTTCATTTCCTTTCACGGTTCCTTTTATTTTAATGTTTCTTTCACGCTAACAAGAGGAGAAGGAAGAAATAACTGGACTGAACTTCTCGCTTCAGGAAGCTGCTGATGTTTGACCATGATGCGGAGCACTCCCTTTTGGTAATGCTAAGATATGATCTATAGAGTTCAATACAGAGCTCGAAGTTGCGCATGCGCGGAAAAATGAGTGGCTCTGGTGCGACGCGCATGCGAGTCGCACTGTCCCGTAAGGACGCGAAGTTGCCTGTGTTTGAGTCAGCCTATCACTTGGGTGCGCTCTTCTGTCCTCCATTTTTAACAGCCCGCTAGTGCCTGGTATGATGGACTAGCAGATGAATTGTGACATCGGTTTGTGGGGATCACGTCTAGGACTGATCTGCTAATTTCGCAGACTGCTGTGGTTCCCCATAAGAGCCGCTGTAAGATCAACCCGTCCAGGGAAGGCCTAATTCCAAAAATTTGGCTCTATGTCCTACCCTGCTGACGCGAAAAAAATCTTCGAATGTGCATAGAACAAGGCAAGTGCATAGAACCCTAAGAGGAGGTTTACAGACTCTTGGTAGTTGATAGCGCCCACCTTGGGTTTTTCTACCACATTGCAGTCCTCAATTTCCATACATAGGCTCAGCGTTCTCAGCCAAAGGGTGTACTGAATTACCTTATAACAAAAGTGAAGTGCCGGTTACAATGAGTTCAATCCAGACCCCGGGTGCAGCAAGCCCCGGAAGGGGATGGGTCCCAAAACTCTGCATCTCTGGACGAATCCCCTATTCTCAGTCACGAGTACTACGTCATCGAGTGGAGTGGAGACGCAAAGTTTTGGGGACCCATCCCCGCCGGGATTTGCTGAACCCGGCCCCAGATCATGCGATTGCGTGTTTCTATGGGAGTGTTAGGTACCACATCATTCGTGCGGGACAGGATAAATAGCCTAGTCGAATGCTCCTGTACGGCCACACCCAGTCAGGATTTCGGCACATCTGAGCTCTAATGTTCAGAGCTCACAGATGCACAGCCAGCGATGATTTGAAGGTTGAGGCAACGAGTGTGCTGGCTAAAGCGCGCGCCGAAGGAATTCCCATCCTTGATGGAAGACGTTGAGAGGTGGTCCTGGTTCACGGGCCGGCTGGGAGAGGGATGATAAGTGTGTACCCACTGCCTTTGGATGACATCTCATGGGAACGGGGCAAAACGATCTGATCATGTGTAAGCTGATATACCGTCCTTAATTGCCAACCTTGCGCCAATTTTGCGGTTAAAGGCTGGAACCCAAGATCGCTGCACAGGTATGACCCCGGTGGGTTATTAAGAAATATACCTATGGAGGGTGAGTGGACACAACTAGGAGGATTTCAGCGACCATTTTTGGGTTTACGCCATGAGGATCTACACCAACAAAGGAAGCGCCACATTCGTGACTAAAAAACGCGTGGCGAGGCTCATTGCTTTGAACCACGATCGCCGATCCAAGTTCCTCACCTTACAAATGCGCTGATATTTGCGGCCAGCCCGTAGCTTTACCCTACCGCGTCTCCGCCCAATGTCGCCTCCAATTTCTCCTGTGGACGTTCTGTCTCTTGAGCTAACTGCCCAAGAAAGTAGGGTCCCATTTTCAGCGTTCCTCGCAGTGGTCCTGCCTTTTTTTATACACATCGCACGTCTTCTTTCATTTCTTAAGGGTAGCAACTAATCTTTACAGAATGTGCAGCGTGTCTTTAAGAATTAGGAGAAATGAAAATCAAGAAAGTGAATGTTGACGATATCTCAACAATGGGGTACCGACAGGAGGCCCGTCGCGCGGCGAGAAGGCAGAGACGCAGACGGCGGACGAGTCGCAGCGCGTACTGTAGTGATTTCGCGTCAATTAAATAGAATGTACCATAGTACGTCCCACATCGCACAGCACGCGCTGCGACTCGTCCGCTGACCGCCTGCGTCTCTGCCTTCTCGCCGCGCGACGAGCTTCCTGTCGGGTACCCCTCCCCAAACAAAGAATTGAGAAATTACTGAATAATTTGGACCAGCTGAAGCAAACTGATAGCAGCAGCTTTCTGCAAAAGAAAAACTCTCAAAAGAAAAACTTACTATTCGTCTTCAATTTTGAACCTCGTATCCTGTTCGTATGGAAACACATTGCCGCATCCTAGAAGAAGTCCACTGCAACCTTCACGGTACGTTCGATAGCATTTGGTGAAAGAGGGAGAACTGAGTAAAGCGACCAATGAAGACTTTCACCTGAAAAGTTGGGTACTGGAAAACTGGGAACACTTCTAGTAATTCCTTAGAACTAGTGTGACTGCAGATTTCAACTAGTTTCGCACTGCTCCAAAGGCAGACGGTACGGTCAGTTACGGGGTAAAGGAATCGACCACGGACAAGCTGCTGCTTCTCATCTGCTGGACAAGGTTAACCCTCGCGTTGGCCTTTTTTTATTTACGGCTCCCAGGGGACCTCATCAGGATCCCCCTCACCACCATTAGTCTGAGAGGGGTTCGCCAATACGATCCACGACCACCACCCTCACACCCATGGCCGTTTCTACGGTGTTTGATTCTGAGACCATTCGACACGCTCCAACACACACTTTTTCCTCCAAAACGGCGTCGAGCGAGGGGAGGGAAGGGACAGTAGTATGTCAGTTGCAATTCCAAAAATCGTTTGAAACGGCCCCTCCTCCCCACATCGCAATCAACAATACCCCCCCCCCTCCGCACTAGTACTGGCAACGCCAAAAACGCGGGGGTGAACTGCTGCTGCACGAAATCTGCGCGAAAGGACGCCGACCGAAGGTGGTTTGAAGCATAGCAGGTGCGGCGAAACGTGCATAGTTCGTGGAATAGTCAAACTATTACCTTTAACAAACTTGGACATGCTGCCCCCCCCCTCCCCCCAACTACAACCGTTGTGACAGTTTCACGGCAGAAATTCAAATTTTTCATAAACCCCCTGGTTGTTTGAATTGGTATCAAAATGAACGATAATTTTTCGTCCCTTTCTGCTACCGGAAAGGGAGGATTAGGATATCAATTTCTGGTAAACATGGGACAATGATTTTCCGTGGAAGATCACTTTAAAGTATAGGAGTGTGCTCGACGTTGACATTCACCTTTTGTATATTGTGTTGAACAATACATCATATTAAATATTATACAATTTCTACAGAATTATTTCATTGCAACGAAGAAGCGTAATTATCTGTAGGTAGTCGCCGCCTACTTGAGCCCCTCACACACAGAAATGGTAGTTAATAGTTCTGCGCTGACTTTCTTGGGTCACCTTTTTTTGTATACGGCAGGCCTGTGATGCTGGGAGCGCGATTCCTTTTTGTTTCCTTTTTTGAGCTGTTATACGAGTTTAGCGATTGTTTGTTTGTTTGTTTTTCGTCTATACTTGTACCGAACTAACACCTTCTGCCCTGTTGTAGCGCACCATTGAGTGCATAAATAAATAAATAAATTATGAAAAGTACCTTGTCTTCAGAGCAAAGTTTTCTGAATATAGGAAAATGATTCGCCCAATCTAACAGATAGACGACATCTCGAGCCCAACTTCGGCGAAAGTTGTACAAATTCAAAAACTCCATAGGTTTCCAACTTCTCTGTAATGCAAATCACGACTTTCCAGATCAAAAAAGAGCGAATAAAACGGATGAAAGTCCTTACCGTAAACCTTGGACATTGAGGACAAGTCTTGTCGATAAGCTGAGGTACTGTAGAGTTAAGCATTCGATTAATGAGCAAATCTTCATCGGCCCGTGTTCCATCACTCGAATTCACCGATGTGCTTTCGCAAAACATGAAATAAATAGAATAGGTTTGATTTTCTGAAATGAAGCGGAAACCAGCGGTTCCAGGAGAGGTGTGTCACTCGAACGACCTTAGCGTTTCTAGCTTTAGTATCCTACTTACTATAAAGCGCTTGTCTGTCGTCTGTCGTTCTGTCTGTATGTCTGTCACGAAATTCCCTAGCTCCTCGGGATCCGCCTGGAGGGACCGGGTCAAGTGTGGGACGGGTGGGCAAGGTCTCACGAAGTACAAACACACATCAGCTAAGCGGAGCCCCGCCCACAGTGGGCGTGGCGTGCGTCGAAATGAAGTGTACTGACGACCAAGATTTCAATTTCTCTGACAAAACGACCTCGAAACTGGGCCAAAAAGTGGGTAAAGGTGTGCATTGGTAAGTCACATCGAATTAGGGAGACCCACCCCCGGTGGGCGGGGCGTTCTCCAAAAAAGCAGTGCTTTATGAAAAATTTCATAACTCGGTTGGGAGAAAGCCTACAGAGCAGAAAACAATTTGGTGTAAGGGAGCAATGTCTAAGGTGTTTCCTGCATACATGACGTGGGCGGAGGCCCGCCCAGAATGGGCGGGGCGCGCTCTGAAGTGTACAGCATTTTCTACAAAGCTCCGGTCAGGTAGATCGGGCCGTGAAGTCTGGAATGAGCGCAGAAAAAGGTGGATCGGAGGTGGGTGGGGAGGAGTGCGTCAGCTGTGAATGGGTAGGGGCTTCGTGGTGACCAAAGTGGACGGAGTTTGCGATGAAAATTCATAACTTGGCTCCAACTATGGCTCCAAGAAGTCCCGGAGGCTGGGAAAAAAGGGAGTAGAGGTTGGCGAAGGAAAGGAGGTCAACTGCTATTAGTGGGCGGAGCACGCACCTAAGTGGGCGGAGTTTGCCAAAAGTGTCGTAATTTGGTTCCAAGAGGTCCCAGAGACCGGTGAAAAAAGGGGTAGAGGTCGGCGAAAGGAAGGGAGGCCAAATGCTATTGGTGGGGGGGCACGCACCGAAGTAGACGGAGTTTGCCACGAGATTTATTGTCCGGAAGCAGTCCGGAGACCGGAAAAAGAGGATAATGGTTGACGAAGAAAAAGAGGTTGAAAGCCGTCGATGATGGAGCGGATAGAATTTAGCTGAGAATTCAGATATTCGTGGTGTATCAAGCCAAATTTGAAAATTTTCGTCGCACCATCAAAATTCGCCGCAGATCTGTGTTGTGCGCGCGCAATGCGTGCGGCGCCAACTGGTTGGGGTATTACTACATATCTCCTCAGCCCAAGGTTCAGTGTATGTTGAGCAAGTTTCAACAGGAGAGGGGAGGCCGTATTTGGGAGTTTCATGGGAAGCCGGACAGCGAAAGAAATATATTGAACGAAAAGACATGTTGAAGTTGCCGTTGTGCCGTTTCAACAGTTTTCCCGCATCTGCCCAACGCCAATTACGAAAGGTTTTTAGGGGGGAGGAAGAATGGAGTGTGTCAACTGATGGCAGATTCGGCGAAACTACATAGTGCTACACCTCGCTCCCCGTGCAGCCAAGTAACTGCTTCGTGTGGTGCATATGCTTCCCCGATACGTTCCCTCTTTATCGTGGTCTCTGCCTTTAAGTGCGTAATGCTACACTCCTTTTTGGCACAGGAGCAACTTTTCACCGAAACTGTGTTCCAATTTTTGCAATGAAGGGCCGTTGAGCTCAGACATGGCGAGAGGCATCGAAAACCCCAGCGAAAGCGAAGGGGACAAGGTAGAAATTGCATCACAGTGCTTGATAGCTTTCCCGTCGTCTGATATCTACCTCCTGCAAGATTCAATTATCGCTTATTAACACATTCACGACGACGCCCCTTTTCCACTTTTCGGTCGCGTGGGACGGACGCGATTTTGTGGGCGCCGCCACCTCACCACATAACCGCAGATTTTGTTTTGTAAATGAACAAAACATGAATGTCACAAATTTCTGCAATGTCCAATGCGTAAAGATTATCTAAACATATAACAGTAGGATTTCGATCAGAACGACAAATAGTGGTTAAAAGAGAGCATTTATTCACTTTCCCCGTGAAGGAATTTAAAAGCATTTTACACTCGATTACGAGGTTTGCCCACCTATCTGTCCATTCCTAGCGCCTGGCAAGCGATTATCAGTTGGCAGCCCATATGGGCGGCCATCGGCGTGAATGTGTTAATAGCCTTCCAATTATTTCCAATTCATTGGCCACTGTCTCGAAGGAGGATACCACGGTAAGGTCGAAGAAGGGGAAGCTTCTCTAATGGAAAGACAAGCGGGCCTTCTAAAGTGTAGACCGAAACTCGATTCCCCGGAAAGATAGGCAGTTATGGCGTGCGTAGTACCCCGCGCCGCTATCACCCGGCCGACACGCCCATTCTCTCGCGCCTGAACCTCTAGCCGTTGAGCAGAGGGGATGAAGGGAGCGTTAGCATCTATGAGGTTAGAGCCGCATCAATGCGAAATCAACGGTCAAAGAAAGGGTCCCTGTCCTCGGTTCTAGGCTGCTCTCATGGCTTTTCCGTCATCCCTCCACCACTGACCACCTCTACCTTGATTTCTGCTGAGCTGTCTCTTCATCGTGAAAGCCGCATTTGACAATTTTCGATTGAATTGCTCTCAGGAGAAGACTTTTCAGACCTACCAGTCAAGATTAAGATACAGATTGATGAGCTGCTGAGCTTCATCGAGCGCTGAAAACTCGCTTGGCAGCATCAGCGATTCGGTCTTAACAAAATACAATGAATAATAAATGCATTCGATGAAATAGACAAGAGGGACGGGTAGCAAACCTTCATTAATTCAGACTTAACGTGTCGAGATTAGCTCAGACCAAAGTCAGTTTAGATAACTGGTTCAGAGCGCTTCTCAACACATTAAGTCTTGTTTAACCTACAGTTAGATCATAACCAAAAAAACCAATTTGACTTGAAGTTAGACAGTTAACTTGTAAACCTAATTCCTAACTAATCAGAGAAAAAAAATACTGTGGGGTTGAGGAGACGCAGAGGCCACGTTGATCCTTCACTAAAAAGTACTCCGAAGCACTTTTTACTGGAGGGTCATACGTGTCAGACGTGGTGACTGCGCCTCCTCAATCCCGTGCTCTTTTTTCTTCTCTGACCAGCTCAACCTGTTAGGAATCAAAGAATGCAGCTGCGATCCATAATCTTCAGGTACTTTTGCAACCTTTTTTTTCTTATTTATTCGTTTCCTGATATTTTGTCGTCTGAAATCTAAAGTAGGAAGCTCTTGCTTGATCTGGGCTGGATCGCACTCTCCATTCTTTATTCTTTGCTTAGAATCTCCGATCGTTACTTCTGATTGCGAGTTAAGGGTACTTTGCTACCGTCCCTGATCGCGATAATTATCAAAGTAAATCGCCAACCTTACACTTTTGTAGACGTCCCTTGAATCTTGGTCATTCTGTGGATGAGTGTTGGCGACATTTGCGCGCCCACTCAAGAGTTTCCCTATATGAAGCCCTAAAACAACAACCCCAGATAAGAGTAGTTCACGAGTGTCACAGGTACGCCGTTGTCGAGGCCGGAAAGTGCGCGACAACGGCGTTAGGGCCTTGGGTACCCCCAGGAGGCCCGTCGCGCGACAAGAAGGCGAGTCAGCGGACGAGTCCGCGCGTACTGTAGGGATTTCGCGTCAAGTTAAATAGAATGTCCATTGCACGTCCTACATCGCACATCGCTGCGACTCGTCCGCGACTCTGCCTTCTTGCCGCGCGACGGGCCTCCTGGGGGTACCCTAGGGCCTTACACAGTGAGCTAAGGGCGGCTAGTGTGAGCTAAAGGACGAGATTCCTCGCACACAGCTCCATGACACGCAACGTGGATTACGACGTAGACTAATTCAAATATGCGCGGGTAAGTGGAGCCATGGAGCAAGCAATTTCAGACGTCTCGTCCGGACACGCCTCTCCTCACTTCAAAGAGGGCTTCATCGGTGCTTTGTTTCGTTTTTTTTTCATTTTCACCCACCTTGCCATTCACAATTTCACTATCTGCCGCTGTTAACCAACCATTTTGGTCTGGAGTTGTTACTTGAACCAACAATGGGTAGCTAAGCCCACACATTGTGAAGAAAAATGCAAGCCTTTACATTTTTCGGTGTATGCTTCACGATTTTTGCAGATTTGGATAATCCAGATTTGGCGCAAAATGGGTTTCGGCTCATGGCTCATCCAGCGCTAGGGAATCATGACGCTTGAGTCAGCAGATTTGAGCCCGTGCAAGGTCTAATCATGGTTAGCAAAACTTTTTGACTGTAAGCCCGCTTGCAGTATAGGGTTCTGACTGACCAATGTATCCCGCTAAATTGGAGTCACTGACGCTCTGCGTCTTCGTTCGTGCTCATGCTCTTTTGGCCACTCGTTCTCTGCTCCCTACTTACGTCATTCAGTGTTTCTTTGCTGTAGTCTCCCACATATAGTGCTCAAAATATCTGACTAAGAGAGTTCCGCTCTATATACTGCGAAAAGAGTTGTTTGGGTCTGATTCATGGCTCTTTGCTTTTTTCTATTTGTGGGTTGAACAAACGCTACAGTTTCTACTCGCATCACTCGGTGTCAAATACTGATCGTGACGTGTGCCATTAAGGCAAGAAAACCAAAATATGTAGGTGGGAATTGTGCCCGAGACTACTGTAACTACAACTGCCATACAAGCAATTAGTGTGAAAGAAAGAGAAAAAATGTCGAAGAGGAACTTACCGCTTGGTTTTCATGCCACCACCGGAACGATTTCTTTTGTGTAGCGACACGCTCGACAAGACGTTATCGAGACGCGTGAAGAATATTTCGTACAAAATTAGTTAAATATTTGTTTCGATTCTTACGCCAAACAGGAATGGTTTTCTGAGATTCCTTCAATGAAGATTTTGTGCACGACAACTCGATGTAAATGGAATTACCCTAAGGTTTTTGAGGCGAAATCTGCGTTAGGAGCGGCATAACCAGTACTAATTTGCGGGTCAGATAGGTGCAAACGACGCCAGCACAGG